CTAGTTGGTGAAGTGGCTTGGCTGGGAGAAGCCTTTGGGCCTTGTGAGCAGCTGTAGCATAAAGGCCCTAAAGATGCTTCCTAGAGTTTGTGTGCTAGGGTTTAGGGTTTAGGGTTTAGGGTTTAGGGTTTAGGGTTTAGGGTTTGCCTCTTCTGGAAAGGTGCCAGTTGCGGAAGTCGTCGAGGGGGAGGCCTCTGGTGAATCCGAATTTCTTAATGACATCTATTTCCTCCTTGCTGACTGCTTCCCTTTTGCTGCTGCTGCTGCTGCTGATGCTGCTGCTGCTGCTGCTGCTGCTGTTAATTTCGCTGCAACGAGACACAGGCAGCTTCGCACCCAACGGCGTGGGTCCCCGCCTGTAAAGAGTTGTTTTGCTGCTGCTGCTGCTGCTGCTGCTACCGCTGCTGGAACGAGGCTTGCGATAGGTCCTGCGAGGCCTGCTGCTGCTGCTGCTGCTGCTACTGTTGCTGTCGTGGTTGCTGCTGCTGCTGCTGTCAGAGGGATCTCCTGTGTCTTTTGCTACTGCAAATCGAGGCAGCTGCCGCAGCACTTTCTGCTGCTGCCTTGCTGTTGCTGCTGCTGCTGCTGTTGCTGCTGCTGCTGGCGATCCATACACGAAGGCAAGAGCGCCCCAGGTTGAAGCCGCTGCTGCTGCTGCTGCTGCTTCTGGCTTCTGCTGAAGAACGCTAATGCTGCTGCTGCTGCTGCTGCGCAGATGAATTTTTTCCCCGCTGGAGCAGCAGCAGCAGCAGACAGCCCAGAAGCAAAACCACGCAGCAGTCCGGAGGAGATCCATGTCCCCTAAACCCTAAACCCTAGAATGTGAACCCTAAACCCTGGTCGCCATAGCGCTCGGTTTCGTCTACCGAGGGTTTAGGGTTTAGGGTTTAAGATTTAGGGTTTAGGGCCCATCATGCTGAGTGCTGCCATGGTAGAGCAGCTGCCGCAGCAGCAAGCAAGCCAAGGCTCGGTGGTTTAGGGTTTAGGGTTTAGCGTCTAGGGTTTAGGGCTAGGGTTTAGGGCCTAGGGTTTAGGGTTTAGGGTTTGTTGAGACCACACGCTCTTCTAGGAGTCCAGCTGCTCGTGTTGCCGCAAGATCGAGGGTTTAGAGTTTACGGTTAAGGGTTTGTGGTTTAGGGTTTAGAAATAAGGGTTTAGGGTTTAGGGTTTAGGGTTCAAGTAGAGGTTGTGCTGCCACTGCTCTGTCGGCAGTGAGGCCCGGGGGGGCCCCCAGCAGCAGCAGAAGCAACAGCAGCAGCAGCAGCAGTAGCAGCACCGATGCATCCGTTATGGTTATACTTCCCAGACCCTAATCCTTTGCCCCTAAACCCTAAACCCTAAACCGTAATTTCTAAATATTTTTCTTTTTTGCTGCCTTGCATTTCATAGAGCCTTTTCCATAGACCTGCGGCTGCAGTCACTGTGGGGCCGTGCTGCTGTTGCTGCTGCAGTTGCTGCTGCTGCTACTGCTGCAGCAGCAGCGTCGATTCAGAAGTCTTCTTCCCGATAGATACTTCAAGCGTAGCAGCAGCAGCAGCAACAGCAGCAGCTGCAGCAGCAGCCACATCGCTGCTGCTGCGTATACACTCGATGCAGCAGCAGCAGCAGCAGCAGCAACGCAGCAGTAACAGCAGCAGCAGCAGCAACAGAAGCAGCAGGAAAAATGGCAGCTCGCAAGGCCAAGAAGGCTGCTGCTGCCGGCAGCAGCAGCAGCAGCAGCAGCAGCAAAGTAAACCCTTTTGATGTTATGAGCAACAAGAAACCCAAAAGGACGATTTGGGGCCTTAAAGTGAAAGGCGCCGAGAGAGACCTGACAAAGGCAAACCCTAAACCCTAAACCCTAAACCCTAAACCCTAGCTCCTGAGTACAGGCATGCGTGTCAGCCTCGAGACACTTCAGCGCCGCATCGCCTAGGGTTTAGGGTTTAGGGTTTAGGGTTTGGGGTTTGTTTGCAGGTGTCTGCTCCAGCGCACTTCATTGGAAGCAGCAGCAGCAGCAGCAACATTCGTGACGAGCGTCTGTACAGCGGCAGCAGCAGCAGCTCTGCAGCAGCAGCAGCAGCAGCAGCAACATCAAAGCGCACGCACGGCAGCCGCCGCGCTGCAGCAATTGCAGCGGCAGATGCAGAAGAACTGATGTACTCTCGCTTGCTGCTGCTGCGGCAGCAGCAGCAGCGGCTGCTACGGAAGCAGCAGCAGCAGCAGCAAAGAAAAAGAAAAAAGAGGTCTTTTGTTTTAGGGGAAAGCGACGGCAGCGACGAGGAAGCAGCAGCAGCAGCAGCAGCAGCAAATTTGCATTTGTCTTCCCAGGCCTTTTCAGTAGAAGATCCAGATGCACCCGAAGCAGCAGCAGCAGCAGCAGCAGCAGCAGCAGCAGAAGGGGATTTGCTGATGCATAAAGGGAAGCCAATTGCTGCTATGGGCGATGATGAGCTGAGGGCTTCTGCTGCTGCTCTTGTGGCCCAAAAAGCAGCAGCAGAAGAAGCAGGATTTGACAAGCAAAGTAAACCCTAAACCCTAAACCCTAAACCCTAGGCTCTAACTCCTGAACTTTACTTTCGCCCAGTCGAGCAGTTCCCTTAAATGAGAACTCCTTAGAGAGGCCCTACAGCTAGGGTTTAGGGTTTAGGGCTCAGCTTTTGGGACTTAGGGTTTAGGGTTTAGGGTTTAGGGTTTAGGATTTGAGTGCAGTGTTGGAGGGTGACCTGCTGTTCTCTGGGGGCCCCTCGGGGGCCCCCAAAAGCCGTCAAGAGATTTTGAGGGAAATAATAACAAAAAGCAAAGATGCGAAAGCCCAGGTAAACCCTAAACCCTAAACCCTAAACCCTAGGCCCTGAGGTGCAACGCCGCAGCTGGGGCTGCGGCGTCGCACCTGAAGCGTGCTTCGTAGCGGCGTGGGGTTTACGGATTGGGGTTTAGAGTTTAGGGTTTAGGGTTTAGGGTTTGGGTGGTGACTGCAGCACGCGAGGGAAGTGGAGGAGCAGCAACAGCTGCTGCAGCAGCTCGAATTGCAATTTGCTGCTGTTCGCGAAGACTTGCCTTTTGTAGCACCCAAGCAGAAAGAGCCGTGAGGGTTTAGGGTTTAGGGTTTAGGGTTTAGGGTTTGGAGCCGAGGGCATGGGCTGAACTGCCGAGGGAGAGGCTGCCAGGTCTGGAGGGTTTAGGGTTTAGGGTTTAGGGTTTAGGGTTTGCGTTACTCCAGGAGCCTTGGAGAACTGCTGGCCAAATATGCGAAGGGAGAAGAGCAGCAAGATGGCAAGCAGCAGCAGAAGCAGCAGCAGCAGCAGCAGCAGCAGCAGCAGCAAAAGAAAGAGCCGTCACTGCTTGCCTTTCTCAGCAGCAGCAGCAGCAGCAGCAGCAGCGTTGGTGAGGGCCCGTTGCTGCTGGACTCAGGCGAAAAGAGCAACAACGAGAGCGCAGCAGCAGCAGCAGGGAAGGGTTCTGGCGCTGCAGCAGCAGCTGCTGCTGCTTCTGGCGAGGGCCTGATGCCTGCAGCAGCAGCAGCAGCAGCAGCAGCTTATGACCGCGCAGCAGCTTTGCTGCGCTTCGAGCCTCGTGTTGCAGCAGGAGAAAAGCTGCTGACAGAAGAAGAGCTGCAGCAGCGAGCCAAGAAAAAGCTGCTGCAGCAGCAAAAGAAGCAGCAGCAGCTGCTGCAGCAGGAGCAGCAACAAGGTACCGTTCGCGGCCTAGGGTTTAGGGCTTAGAGTCGAAGGTTTAGGGTTTAGGGTTTAGGGTTTAGGGTTTAGGCCTTGGCACTACTTAAGCCCTAAACCCTAGACCTTAAACCCTAAACCCTAAACTAACCTCTAACAAGCACTGGAAGCAATTCCCGGGACTTCGATACTAAGGCTGGGGTTTAGGGTTTAGGGTTTAGGGTTTAAGGTTTAGGGTTTGCTCCTGCAGAGGAAGAGGAACTGAGGAAAGAAGAAGAAAGCTTTTGGAACGGAGCAGCAGATGCTGAGGCCTCAGGCAGCAGCAGCAGCAGCAACAGCGATGGCAGCAGCAGCGACGGCAGCAGCAGCGACGGAAGCAGCAGCGACGGCAGCAGCAGCGAAGAAGAAGAAGACGAGGAGCTGCAGGAGCTGCTGCAGCAAGATGAAGATGATGATGTATCTGAAACTGCAGCAGCAGCAGCAGAAGAGGCAGCAGCAGAAGAGGCAGCAGCAGAAGAGGCAGCAGCAGAAGAAGCAGAAGAAACAGAAGCAGAAAGTAAAGACACAGATGAGGTGCCAGCAGCAGCAGCAGAAGCAGAGCCCGCAGCGGCAGCAGCAGCAACAGCAGCGGCAGCAGCAGCCACAGCAGCAGCAAAAGCAGCAGCAGGAAAGGCCGAGGTGGACTCAGACAGCGGCAGCAGCGCAGCCCCAACAGCAGCAGCAGCATCTGCTGCTGCAGCAGCAGCAGCAGCAGCATCTGCTGCTGCAGCAGCAGCAGCAGCAGCAGCATCTGCTGCTGCTGCTGACAGCGAAGATGAGGAACTTACAGAAGAGCAGCAGCAGCAGCAGCTGCTGCTGCTGAACGAACCCCACGAGCTGCTGCTGCCTTATAAACCCTCGCTGCCCAAAGCAGCTGTCGATACACCTGAGATTTTCGCCCCCTGGAAACCCTCGTCGCAGGCAAAGCTGCTGCACCGGTAAACCCTAAACCCTAAACCCTAAACCCTAGGCTGCAGCTGCGACGCTTTGCCTGGGGTGGCTTTCTTGGTGTGTGCTGGCTGGACTTCAGCGCAAGCCCTAAACCCTAAACCCTAAACCCTTGTTGTCTTGCATGCAGCTATTTCATTATTTAGTTTCCAAGTGACCCCCAGACCACAAACCCTAAGCCCTAAACCCTAATTTTTGCGTGCAGCTGATTAGTTCTTTACCCGCCAAGTGACCCTGTATGGGACTAAACCCCAAACCCTAAACCCTAAACCCTAAACCCTAATTTTTGCGCGCAGCTATTTAATTATTTACCCCCCAAGTGACCCCAAATGGGCCCCACAAATGCAGCAGCTAACGGAGGGGCTGCTGCTGCACCTCGTGCTGCAGTCGCGCAGCAACTTCACCCAGGGTGGCGGTAAACCCTAAACCCTAAACCCTAAACCCTGAAAGCTGGGCCGCGAGATGGGGTTTGAGGCGGAGGCCGCACACTGGGCTGCAAGCCCAAACCCTAAACCCTAAACCCTAAACCCTAAACACAAAATTGGTCTTCTGTTTGCAGGTACCCCGTTCTTTGAGCTGTGGCAGCAGCTGCATCCTCCGCTGCTGCTGCTGCTGCAGCATTCGACAGCAGCAGCAGCAGCAGTAGCGTTTTTCAAGCCTTTGCTGCTGCAGATGGCTGCTCGTGTTGCTCCTGGGGACGAGGAAGTGCAGCAGCACCTTAGAACCCATATTGCTGCTGCTGCTGCTGCAGCAAAAGGATCTGCAGCAAAAGCAGCAAAAGCAGCAGAGAAAGCTGAAGGAACAGAGGAGCTGCTGCAGCTGCTGCAGCAGCAGCTGCCGCAGCAGCTGCAGCAGCAGCAAACGGAAGCCACCATAAACAGGTGCATCCTGACTGCTACAGATGTCGCTGTGCTGCAGTTGCTGTTCTGCTGCTACCCACTGCAGCAGCAGCGGCAGCAGCGGCTGCTGCAGCTGGGATTTGTTGTGCTCGAAGCAGCAGCAGCAGCAGCAGCAGCAGCGCAGCACGCTGACGTTGTTCCTGTTTGCCCACCTCGCCTGCGTTTGCTGCTGCGGCGCAATGAGCTGCAGCAGCAGCAGATCCGCGCGCAGCTGCAGCAACAACCGCAGCAGCAGCAGCTGGAGCAGGAACTGCTGCAGCTGCAGCAGAAACAGCAGCAGCTGCTGAAACAGCTGACAATACCGCGACTGCCACTGACCCGCAGCGGCATCGCAGCAGCAGCAGCAGCAGCAGCAGCTGACTCGCTGCTGCAGCAGGAATCTGCCCCCATCAGCAGCAGCAAAGAAACGTTTGCTGCTCTGCCCCCTACCCTTCCACCTGCTGCTGCTCCTCTTGCTGCTCAGTTGCTGCTGCTGCAACGCCAAGCTGCTGCAGCAGCAGCACAAGAAGGTTGCTTCTTCCCATCAGCCTTCAGCCTTGCTGCTGCGCTGCTGCACACAGCAGCAGAGCAGCTGCTGCTGCTGTCCAGGCAGCAGCAGCAGCAGCCGCAAGAACGGCAGCTGCAAGAACAGCAGCAGCAAGAAGAAGAAGAGCTGCAGCCAGATCTCGAGGACGCCATTCTGCACATTCTGCAGCAACAGCAGCAGCAGCAACAGCAGCAGCAGCAGCAACAGCAGTGGGAAGGCTGGGCAGACTTTGGCTGCTCCGTAGCTGCAACGGCTCTGGCGATGTTGCAAACCCTCGTAAACCCTAAACCCTAAACCCTTAACCCTAACAGTAAACTCAAAGCCCGTTAGCTTGAATAAACCTGCATGAGCCTGCGGGAGTTGCTGTTCTAGGGTTTAGGGTTTAGGGTTTTGGGTTGGTGCTCCTGCTGCAGCGCTCACAAACCCTAGCAGTGTACGTGCCGGTGATGCAGCAGCTGCTGCCAGCGCTCCCGCTGCTGCAGGGTTTGCTGCTGCAGGCTGCTGCTGCTGCACCAGCAGCAAGTGTTGCGGCTTCAGCAGCAGCAGCTACTGTAGCAGCTGCAGCAGCAGCAGACGATGAAGAAGACGAGGAGTCTGCGGAAAGCTCTTCATCACCTACAGCAGCAGCTAAAGCAGCAGCAGCAGCAGCAGCAGCAGCAGCAGGGGGCAGGACTTGCTGCTGCTTCCTGCTGCAGCTGCGGCGGCTGTGGCGCTGTGCCTTCGAAGCAGCAAGCAGCAACTTGTGTCCCCTCAGCATTCAGCAGGGCAACAAAAAGGTAAACCCTAAACCCTAAACCCTAAACCCTCACGAAGAAGCAAGCCCTCGAACCCAGCAGCACTTTCGAGGCTGGGGCTTAGGGTTTAGGGCTTGTCTACGTCTTAGAGTTTCGGGTTCCGCCTGAGCTCTGCAGAGAGCTTAGGGTTTAGGGTTTAGGGTTTAGGGTTTGGGGTTTGTGTCTCAGACGGGGCTGCAGCTGCTGACGCCGCGGTACTATGACCCCAAGAGCCTCGGGGGTTTGCGCAGCAGCAGCAGCAGCAACTTGCTGCAGCGGGAGCTGCTGCAGCAGCACCGGGAGAAGCGGCAGTACAAGCAGCAGCGGCGCAACGCAGCAGCAGCAGTGCGCGCGTCTGCGGCTGCTGCTGCTGCTGCTGCTGCTGCAACAGCAGCAGCAAGAAAGGCAGCAATTAACGCCACCACAAACCGCTTCCTCAGGATACTTGAACAAGACACAGTCGAGTACAAGAAGATGAAAACCATAGGTAAACCCTAAACCCTAAACCCTAGAAGCAGCGCAGTGTCTCAAACCCTAAACCCTAAACCCTAGTCTTTTGCGGTTGCTAAGCTGAGCCCTTACACGGTGTTTCCCCTTTTCACCGGAGCCGAAATCAGCTCGCGTCTAGGGTTTAGGGTTTGTGGTCCAGAGTTTGGTTTAGGGTTTAGGGTTTGGGAGTGCAGGAGGCGGCATGGACACTTCGCTGCAGAAGTACAGACCCTCTAAAGAGAAGAAGAAAAGAAGACTGGCAGGAAACAAAACAGATTCCTAAACCCTAAACCCTAAACCCTTGGCCCTCGCTGCAGCACGGGCCAGAACTGCAGCGGCACAGCAGCAGCAGCAGCTGTTGCTGCTGCTGCGGGTCTGCTGCTGCACGAGCAGCAACTTCTATATGCACAATGCGCCTAATTGGCTCCTCGTCTAGGGTTTAGTGTTTAGGGTTTAGGGTTTCGGGTTTAGGTTTCTTTGGCCTCATGCAACGCCGCTTGCGGCAGATGCTTCATAGCCCGCAGTACGATGCTGCTGATTTGCTGCTGCTGCTGCTGCTGCTGCTGCAGCTCATGCTTATAGTGGCTCGAGCCATAGACACCTGAAAAGAGATTTAGCAGCGGCTGCAGCAGCGCGTTGCGCAGCGCAGCAAGACGGGCTTCTTGCTTCCGCTGCTGCTGCTGCTGCTGCTGCTGCTGCTGTTGCTGCTGCTGCAGCAGCAGCATCTGGTGGTCCGCATATTCCATGTACGCCATGAGGGCTTCATAGCGGCTCGTCGCAACGGTGCTGTTCCCCTTGCTGCTGCTGCTGCTGCTGCAGTTGCTGCTGCTATTGCTGCACTTGCTGCGGCTGCTGCTGCTGCTGCTGCTGCTGCTGACGGGATGGGCAGCAATAAACGCATCCGCCCGCCTCAGCCAGAGCCACGGGTTGTTCTTGAGGCTCCTCCCAATCATTACTCCGGATATGCTGCTGCTGTTGCTGCTGCTGCTGCTGCTGCTG